GCCCCCTCCTGAACTTTCTCTGTAGAGGAGATAAAACTTCACAATTACCTACAGATACAGTTTAATGAGTCTAAATTTATTAGTAAGTATTATCACTATTTTCTATTTTCTTCCTAATAAAATGTTCAGCTTCATCTCATAATGAACACTTACCACCAGTGCGATGTTCAGATTTTCTCAGTTTATGTATTAAAATGGTTTGAGCGCAGATTACAGCCACACACACTGCTGAGAAAACTGCCAGAGTCAGCATTACAGGATCTACAGAACCTACAGGATACACAGACAGGAATTAGTAAAATACTGTATACATGCATGCAGCAGTTCAGGTCCTAACATTTTTAGCTTGAAATTTATGTCAATAATCTACATTTTACTGATCATTCTCTACCCAAAACTGCAGAACTTTCTGCTTTTACAGTACAGACAGAATTGCTCACAGTGCTGATAATCACCAGGGATCAGGAGTTTTTAATGCCTCCTCTTTTGATCTTAGATCAACAGGCGCAGCATAGGTTTTGGTTTGAGGCTATTAAATTATTGTTATATTGCATCAATAGTCTATGGTCCATAGCTGTGATCTGAAAATATGGGTTACACCTGTGTCTGTCACATTTTCTATTTACAGTTTTGTTCTTTATACATATTATTGACTTTAAAGCCCAAAAGATTGTTAGAAGGTAATTTCATCTTTGTACAGCACAATCAGTCTCTTTAGTGGTAATGTATTTGACTTATAAACTTTGAATTGACGTCAAATGTAAATAAAATAATTGGAAAATAAAATGTACACAATCTAAATACACTAGTACATAGAAACACTTACTCAGTTCTACTGATGTTCCGTTCCCAACAATGATCCTCCCACAAGCAGCCACAGCGCAGTAGTAAGTTCCAGTATGGTGGTGGTCGAGGATGTTCTTGGAGAAGTTGTACACAGAGCTGTGTGTAGAAGAGCTGATCTCACACTGACGGCTGCTGCTGTTCTGATGAGTGTAAATGATTTCAGGAAAGGATTGTCCTGCAGCAGCTCTGAACCAGAGCACTCGGAGTTCTGCTGCTCTGATCTCAGAGAGGACCGTGCACTGCAGAGTGACCGGCTCTCCTGGAGAAACCGACCCCCGTACTGGAGTTTGGAGCACCAAAATGTTTAACTGAGGATGACCTGGTCAGTGTAATTGAGACACTGTAAGATTTTGGTACAAACGGGCTTATGAAGCACACTTTAGGAGTAAACTCTTATTTTTTTTTATTTTTTTTCAAAATGCTGAAACATTGTAGAACTATAAACAGGGTATTGTGTTCATAATTAACATGTATATACATGATACATTATCAATATAAGCACAATATAAACACACCAAATATAATAGTGTCGATTTAATTGACTTCACTTCTTATAAAAGACTGAAAATAATAAAAACAACCATAAAAACATTTGCTTAAAGTTTTCTATTGTTGTAAAGTTTTGTATGAGTTTATATGTTATATAAAAATCATAAACAAACAGTAACTTTATTACCTGTTACTGCTAAAAATGTGCCATTAGAAAACGTAAAGGTGATCCCGTGTCCTACACCACAGAAGTACATTCCTTCATCAGCTTTAGTAGTTTGCTCAATAGTCAGATTAAAACTCTGGTTTATTTTGAATCTGTGTGATGAAGTAGCTGCTTTTTTGTCACGTAACTTCACTGCCACTTCCTGAGGTTCCTGTCCTGCTCTTTGTTTGTACCAAACCCAACTCTTAATGCTTTGACCAGACTTTTCCACAAATTTGCAGTGTAGAGTAACATTTTCACCAGACTCGGCTGAGATAAATGATGCCTCAGAAAGATCCACAGCTTGAGCAGAATCTATAAGACAGTATTAGACCAGAGCTGAGTCAATAAAGACAAAATCAGATGACATTTCAACATACACAGTTAACACAAACAAACAAACAAACAAACAAACAAATAAATAAATAAATAAGATTTTGTGAGGGTCCAAAAAAGTTACAATAACTTACATATCATGTAAAGATGCAAAATCAGTATCCAAATCAGAGCCATTGTGTTAAAATGAAGCTGTTCTTATTTGAAACAAACTGGAAAGGAGGTAATTAACAACAGCAACACCCTGTATTAGCTGGCTGGGCTCAGGAGACTAAGCTCATTGGCTGTCACAGGGTCTTTTTTCTGTCTGCTCTTCTTTTCACTCGTGATTGGCCACAAGAAGTTCATTGGCCTCTTATAAAAAGCCTCTTAAGCCTCTCTCCAGCAGAAGGTTACTTCATGAAATGGTAAGAAATACATACATTACATGATGAATTAATTTTTTTTGTACTATAGTTTTGAGATGTTTTGAAAATGCATTTATTAAAGCACAATTATGGTGGAAAGATGTGATAATAATCAATTTGAAAGAAACAAGAAACTGTAGATCAGAAAATGTATAAATCAATGTCCAAATGCCAAATAATACAATAAACAAAAGTTGAACATTAGCTGTAATTCGTTTATACTGTTTTTGGAGCTACCAGTAAATAATGCATTACAATAACCCAAACAATGGAAAACAAACACAGTAGTCAACGTTTTAAATACCGTGCCATGTGAGATGAAGTCCTGACTAAAGATTTCTTCTTCAGTGAACAAATTCACATCAAACCAATCTGAAAGCCTTTGTTCACATTGCTAAAATTTCTTCACTCAGAATCTTTGAAAAATAAGTGAAATTTGCTTTATATATGGTACTGAATGACTAAAAATACTTTGACATTAATAAAAATGTTTGAGCTGATATAGAATTATGTTCATGTATGACAGACAATGTTCCTGTAAAACAGGGTAAATGAAATGATGAGGTAGCAAGTGTGGCTTATATTCACTATAGTTTTTCAATCTGATAGGAAAGAACTGTGAAACCACAGTAGATACCCAGAGCACAGCCAATGATCACACTGCCTCCTACTGGTAACAACAGGCTTTTATACATTCTAATGGCAAATCAGAGGACTTAATATTAAGTCTGCTTATAAGAACTTTAAAAAAGTCAAATACCCAAATAGTAAACAAAATAATGGCCAGTTTTATATGTATGCTCTCTAATAACTTTGTAATTACACATTGACAATGATGTAACTACTGGAGGTGTGTTCTCTGTTACAGATTCAACTACTACAGTTTATGTAAATGCACATATGTATAAGCTTCATTTTTAGTCATATAATGAATCATGTGTGTTTTAATAGTTGTAATAGTATTTTGTCTTTCTTTTTTCTGTAGTAAAATGCTTGTATTGTGACATGGTAACCTACCCAAAAGTCTGGCTTTAAACCATTCTGTAATAGGTTGGTATTTTCACAGCAACAGCAGATCTTTCTTCATACAGAAATTGTGGAATTGGTTGATTCAATCACAACCATGTTACAGCCAATATTCCACAGTAACTTTGTAAAAGCTACATTTTTAAATAGGTGCAGAGTTACTGTGTAGTTCCGCTGTAGGTACAGTGAAACGACAGATTGGTAATCCAGATATTGCTTTTTTAATAGTGTAATACAACACTAATTTAATGAATTACATAAATATCACTTTTGAAGATATGTGCTATTCATCACCATCATATTAAAGAATAGTTTAAAGCCAGGACTTTGTCAGTGCATTAGTACACTGTATAGAGTGTTTGTATAAAGTGTATTAATGTAACTAGCTAAGCAGTTCACTCTTTTACACATTGTGATGTCATAAAACAAAATGCACTGTTACTAATTTCAAAATTTTATAACTAAAACCTGAAACAATAATTAGCTTTTGATGTAGAATTTTTGTACTATTTCCATTGGTCCATTCATTTAACACATTGTGAGGGGGCAAATAGAGCTTTCAAATTTAGTTTAAAAAGTTAGACAAAATTTGAAATTTGTATTTTTTTTTTTATATTACATCTTTTCATTTTTTTTAAACTGTTGCTGAATTAGTTATGATGACATTTCCAGTTGTAGTTGTTCTCTCTTAAGATGAGCCTTCAACTTCCAACTTTACTGACTGCTTATAAATGAGAATCATCAATGGCAGAAAAAAAGACCAAAAAAATCAGTTATTTTTGTAAATACAGATTATCTATTGAAGATACGCTGCTGCTAATTTTATTGTTAATTTTTATTTCATGCTTGAATCTAAATCTCCCTAAATGACCAACTGAACCAGCTGAAATCTGCACTGAACAGAAAACAGCAACATAGAAGGCATGAATTTAAATGGATACAAACAAAATAATATAATCTATTACATTATGTGATGTTAATGAAGGACACTGAAACTCCAGATCCATGTGTTTGAATTGGGAGCTGACTGTATTCTGTTCCTAACCTATTAGAAAATGAATGTAACACCACTGACTAATACACTACATCTGTGAGCAAGTGACTAATGTTTAATACACTGTATGATATGTTTTTTTTTTAAGAAAGGGGCTTATATTTTTGATAATTTTACATCATTTGAATCAGATTAATATCATACATAAATTACAAGGACATTGAAATGAAAAAGTAAAAATAGTTTAATTTATGTGTATGTGTTTTTATGAGATGCAGAGCTCAATGAAATTAGAAAAATTGTATTGATAGGAAAATTATATATCTCTACTTATTTAGGGTTATGAAGAACATCACATACAAGAATTAAATGTCTTTAATTTGATGTCGTTAAAACAGGACCTTCTGTAGCAATACAAACCATCCAATTAAAGAAAATGACCAACTGGTCATCAGCTACCAGTCTAAAGTTGGACCACTGACAAGTATACAGTCATATGCCAAAGTTCCCCAGTCACATGACATTTTGTTGATTTTTTTAATAAAAAATACAATAACATCTGCAGAGAACAGGGAAAAAAATGAAACTGATTGTTCTGTAACACTTTTACAGACCATGTTTTATGTTTGTTTTGTCAATATGTTAGTTTCAGCAAATATATGAAAAAAGCAATAAAGGTTAATAATGACCACACGCTCTAAAGCTGAGTTCTCACATCATCCTTCAGAGAACATAGACTCATCTCAATCAGCAGAACTCTCACCTAACAAGAAATAAACAGCTACAGATCAAAGATTGGAGCTCATTTGAAGCGTGAAAAGGTCCACTCATGATCATCTTAGGAAACTAGCGATGTGAGCGCTGAGCAGCAGCTTTGGAGCTTCTCACTTGAGAGTACACAATGTCTTCAGGCTGTTCTCTCTTCACTCTCTCACCTTTGGCTTTCTTCTCTTTGATGTGGATGGCAGCGTAATGCAGGTTCTCAGTGTTCTGTTCCTGTAAGAATAAACAAATCATAACCTTCTGAAAAATATATATAAACTTGGAGAAAAATAAAAACTGACAGTATTTTCTGGGCTGCTTGATGAAAGGAAGTTTCCTGATGAAAGACAATCAGTTTCTACTAAAGGTAAAATGTTCTCCAGCATGAAACTGAAAATGTTTGAGTAAAGGTCTGTTAAATACAGGACAGACTGTGAACTCCTGATTGTGTTATTGAGCAAAGAAACATATTTTGTTTCCTTTATTTAAACTAGATTGTAAAATAGTAGAAATTATACAAAATAGTAATAATAAAAAAAATCTGAATTTTGAAGTTGGTTAAAGACTAAAGGTTTAAAATGTTCATGTGACACCAGGGAGTGAAGCTTCAGAGTTTCCTGTAATGAATTCCAGTTCGCTGGTGCTCTGTAGCTAAAAGCAGATGTTCCCAGATCAGTAAAAGCTCTCGACACCTGAAGGATAATCCACTCACTGGAACAAGTCTGATAAAATACATTATTTACACTGAGCATTTCTGTGATGAATGACAGCTTATGGCCAGTAAGTTCCTTATACAGCACTATATAGGACAGCATTTGTCATTTAGCCATGTGCCAAGGTACTCTTTCGAGGTCAGGGTTGTGATGCCAAAAATGTTAAAATAAATATTAGAGGCTCTGGACAACAGCAAAAATGTAGTTTTCTGAACATTTAAGACTAGTTTATGATTGTAAAAGGCTGATTTTAAGGCACTAAAAGAACACTTTTATCATTAAAAAGCAGTTTTTGCACTGCAGCACCAATATAGTCAGCTGTGCAGTACAGAATGGTGTCATCAGCGTATAAAAAGACTTTGCAATCAACAATGAAGGCAACAATGCCGTTAATATACATATTGAATAATACTGGCTTAAGGATCGAACTTTGAGGGACCCCCTCAGTTAATGCTAGTAATTCTGATTTACTTTGTCCCAAAGTCACACATTGCTCTGTATCACAGTGATCATTTCTAATGCAGCTGGTAGCTCTGCTGTCAAAACCAATGTGATATCTCCAAAGCTTTAGAGATATCAATAAAAATGACTGTACAATGTTTCTTTGATTGTATGTAATGTGTTCTAAAATGATAAAGCGTATATTTGCAATTTTGTAAAGATCTTGTTGTTTGTTCAATAAAGTGAAATTAGCTATAGTTTATTAATGCATTAAACATTATTCATTATGACCTGGATTGGTACATAACTGGAGGTCTGTTTTCTGGAAAATCATATATAATGGTATTATTAGTTGTAATACAGCATAATGAACTCTTACGACCTTTTTTGCAAATTACTTTTACCAACAATGTAATATTGGCTACATTTTATTTCTTTTAATTTTACATGTTCTAGGTAGTGTCAGGCCTGGAGTTGATTATTATTATTATTATTATTATTAGTAGTAGCAGTAGTAGTAGTAGTAGTAGTGGTAGTAGTCGTAGTCTCTAATATTTCAGAATGTGTTCCATATTATAACATATGTTTTAAATTAATTTGCATCACAAATTCAAAACCAATTCATGATATTTCATGGGAAAAAAAAATCACATTTGGTTGTTAATTTGCGCTGAATCTAAAAAATATTTCTAGTTTGAATATTTTTGACTACCAAAAATCCATGAAATGATCTTTACTTTAGAATATGGGTAACAAATGGGCAAATTACTGACAAATTGTTTAACACTTTAACATGGAACACATTGTGAAGTTTTACTGACTCATTAAATTCTTATTAACTCTAAACTAATAAACTCCAGAAATCACCTGAATCTACACAGAGCCTATCAGAATGAAATGCTGAAAATTAACAGTTGATGAGAATTTAGATGATAATTCTGGCTCAACAATTTGCATAACAACATAGGTTGTTTGGGCGCCCCTGGCCAAAAGACATGTTTTGTTGATTTTGTTTGATAATAAGTTACACATCATCTACAGAGAACAAACTTCTGCACCTTTTAATGGGAGTAATACATAAATACTGTTTATCTCCTGAACTAAACATATTATAAATTTTATAAAAACATAAATTGTGGCCTGTGCCAACAGTTTTAGATATTATGTTTTTTCCCCACATGTTTAACTCAGAAAATGAATCAAAATGGTGCATTAAAATTGATATTTTATATACATATATTTAACTTAAAACCAGTAAAACATGTATAAACTTTTGCATCTGACTGATAGGGTTGGGGTAAAAATTGATTCTTAGATGCATTGCAATGTGGACATGAACGATTCTGAATTGATTCACAAATGTCAAAAATCAATTTTCTAAATATTCATTTATAACGTAATGTTGACGGAACACAAAAGATGGAACTTGGAAGTGTGGAAGTGCAGCGCTCAGACAGTCTGTGGTGGGATGAGTGAGAAATCCGACCAGCACCCTCTGCATTAACAGCCAGGTTAGGTCAGGAGTCACAACACAAATGATAAGAAGAGACATTTTGTCCTTTCAACAAAAATCTAACCACCTTGGGAGCCGCAACATTTAATGTCCAGTATGTCTCAGTATGTGCTGATGTCTTAGCACAGGCTAAAAATATAAATGAAAACGCAGACTTACTTTGCTCTGCTTTAAACTTTAGCTATAGCCGCTTTCCTACCATTTCCACCAGGACGCTTTTCCTCAAAAGTTGAATAGTTTCTTGTAAAATGTCTCTCAACTTTCGACTGTTTTACGAGGCTGAAGTCACTTCTTATTCGCCAGCTTCTTGTTTTAATGTTCCCGTTCCACCTTAAATTCTGAGGTGCCAAGTGGAAATGCGGCACCATTTAAGGTGGAACAGGAAAATTAGAAAGAGAAGCTGACTTCATCTTGGCAACTTTTTAGTGTTTGACAGTCTCTTATTGCAGATTTAACATACCAGGAAACAACTGCAGTGCTTATAAATGTGAATAAGTCCATTCATCTCCAAATGTTCGTCTTAAATCTTTCTCTTTGCCTTTTACCTGCATGTTGCAAACATCCTGTCTCGCAGACATTTTACTGACACGGCGATCCCCACACCCTCAACGAGATCAAAACTGAAGTTTTGAAATCACTAAAGAAAACAGGTAGGACTGCTGTAATATGCTGCTTGGACACCCATTGCAACAGAATCTTATTTCACCGTTACTGCACATGTTATCACAGATGAGTGGCAGCTTGCATCTCATGTGCTCCAAACAAAAGCAGCCTTCTTGTTCACTTGCCACATCACTTCCATTTGTTTTATTAATAAAAGATATTGGAAGCAAATTCATTATGGATCATTACAAATAATTGCTTTAATAGTACCAAGTCCTCACACAGAGAGAAAAAAGAAATCCTGTATAGAAAAAAAGATGAAGATAATAGTTTTATAATCGCATTGCAGCGTAATCGTAATAGAATCATGAGGTGCCTAGAGATTCCCACTCCTAATGACCGATTATCCAAGTGTTTATTGTGCATCCTCACTAAGAGCTCTGAACAGATATCTGCAGAATTGTCGCTTTAAGACATTTGAACCATATCAGATCCTCAATAGAAACTAAAATGCAGTTAAAAGAGTAAGTGCATAAAGAGTACCTGTCTGGTGGTCCTCTCACTCACAGTCCCCTCCTGAACTTTCTCTGTTCAGGAGATAAAACTTCACAATTACTTTCAGATACAGTTTAATGTGGCTAAACCTATTAGTAAGTATTCTCACTATATTCTATTTCTTTCTATTAAAATGTTCAGCTGCATCTCATAATGAACACTTACCACCAGTGTGATGTTCAGATTTTCTCAGTTTATGAATTAAAATGGTTTGAGCGCAGATTACAGCCACACACACTGCTGAGAAAACTGCCAGAGTCAGCATTACAGGACCTACAGGATCTTCTGTAAGACAGGAATTATCAACATACTTTATACATGAAAACAAAGTTCAAGCCACAAAAATCATTTTCCATCTAACCTTTTTAGCTTCAAATTTATGTCAATATTCTCTATTTCACTGCTCATTCTCAAACCCAAAGCTGCTGTGCTTTTATGTCTCACATTAGAATTGTTTACAGTGCTGATGATAAGAAGCAGAGATCTGAAGTGTTTAATGTCTCAAGGTCACCACCCTCCTACATACCACAAAACAGAAAACAAAAATCCGATTCAGTGATTTTGTTCACCAACATTACATTAGTAAAAATTTCAGACACATATGTAGTTTCTCTGACGGTCTTAGACAGTAAATAAAATTTGTGTGGCTGATATCATGACCTCTGGTTCCTATCAACACCACTGTGAAGAAATCTGAGTATGTTTCTTTACAATGAACCACTTGACATCACTTTGGGAAACTTAATTTTCTTTATTTCAAAAGATGCAGCATAAGTTTGGGTCCAAAATATGAATTAATGGCTGTAGTGTATCAATAGTCCATGGCCCATGGCTACAATATGGGTTACAGCTGTTTCTGACACATTTTCTTTTTTCTATAAATTCTGTTGAAATTTACTGAACACTTACTCAGCTCTACTGATGCTCCATTACCAAAAATGATCTTCCCACAAGCAGCCAAAGCGCAGTAGTAAGTTCCAGTATGGTGCTGGTCGAGGATGTTCTTGGAGAAGTTGTACACAGAGCTGTGTTTAGAAGAGCTGATCTCACACTGACGGCTGCTGCTGTTCTGATGAGTGTAAATGATTTCAGGAAAGGATTGTCCTGCAGCAGCTCTGAACCAGAGCACTCGAAGTTCTGCTGCTCTGATCTCAGAGAGGACCGTGCACTGCAGAGTGACCGTCTCTCCTGGAGAAACTGTCCCTGATGCTGGAGTTTGGAGCACTGATATGTCTACCTGCCCTAGCAAATATAATATAGACAGTGTAAGTATGTGTATTCAATAGTAACAGTGTCATTACAGGATAAACATAGTATAATAACAGCATACTTGTGAGGTAACAGTGTTCTATTATGAATTTAGAGTGTGATGGTGCTAATTTATGGATATATACAGCATTACAATATGGATATTTTCACCAGTACCAATAGCAATAATATTTATTTAAACTGGCCTTTGTTAAAGCCTGTATCAGTATTTACAATGAAAAGGTAAGTTTACATACACAATTCAACACACTTTACATTCTGCTGTAGCTGAAAGAATTAGCAGAAAACTGAAGTAGAGAACAATAAATGTTACCTGTGACTGCTAAGAATGTAGCAGTAGAAAAGTCCAGTGTTTTCTTTCCAGTCTCTCCACAGAAGTACATTCCTTCATCTTCTTTAGTGACACGTTCAATACTGAGAGAAATGCCACTCGCAATTCTGTTGAGTTTAAATCTCGATTTGTCAAATTTATTTGCAAACACAGCCGGCTTGTCTTCTAACTTTGATCCCACTTCCAGCGGCGCATGTTCCAGTCTTTGTTTGTACCACATCCTAACATCTTTATTTGAGTCGTCTACAAATGTGCAGTTGAGAGTGACCGCTTCACCGGGCTCAGCTGAGATGACCAACGACTCTGAATTTCTCACTGCTTGAGTAGAATCTGTAAAATGAAGTTCATTCAATCAGTAAAACTTGAATGAAACTTAAGCAACAAACCATAATCAGCAATTATAAATACGAAGAAACTTACATATTTTGTAGAGAAGTAAGATGATAATCACAGCTGGATCCATCATCAGAAGAACAACAGTTATAACTTGAAGGCAAATATTCTAAAGGCTGTAACTGAACAAAGCATCAAACTGCATTAGCTTGCTGGGTTCTTAGTCTGAACCTCATTGGCTGGTAAAAGTCACATGGCTCTTTCTGTCTGCTTGACTTGATCTGTTTGGCCACAGAAAGTGCTCTGTGCTCTGTGTCAGTAGTTGTGGTTGTCATAGTCTCTGTTATCAACACTACAGAGAAGCAGTTAAACATGAGGAGCTCAGAATATCTGCCTGTGAAGGTTTGAAGACCTGATTAATAGTAGAAAAAGGATGTAGGATTGTTTTGGTTTTCAGTAATAATGTTAGAGAGATTTAAATGTTTCTGAGTACTTACACCCCAGACATGAATATATTTACACTGTAAAAAAAAGTTTCCTTAGAAGTACATTATTAACCAAACACGCATTCAGACTTTTCCTTTTAACTCCTTTTATTTTTTAGGCTCTACTTATACTTAAATTTATTACTTCATAATTATTTTATTTTATTTAGTTACTAACTCTGTGATAAAGCTGTGAATTTTATAGTCTAATGATTTGTGACTGTGTAAGAGACATTCACTATAGTTTGTGATACATACTGACAGCATTTCCAGATTAATTATTAATGTTAAACTGTTTCTCTTGATTTGATTCATCACAAATTGTTCACAAAAGTATAAGCATGAGTATTTTAAATATGCACAGAATTAAACAAAACAGAAATGGAGATTTAAAGTTTTGTCCTGACAGTGATGACACACAGATGTGTGTAGTTAGAACTTGTGGAAAATGACCTTTTTACTCTCCATCACAAACTACAGAAGACAGGCTTCAATAAGAATCTGCATTTTCTAAATCTAACCATGTTTATATTGTTTGTATTACAGCTATAATACATGAATCCATGTAAACAAACATGCAAACAAACAAATAAATAAATAAGAGAAAAACTATATTCATGTAAAATACTGAATGTTTTACTAAATTTGTAGTAATTAAATGTTTTTAATCCATTTTAATTTCTTACGTTATTTTATTTTATGTAAAAAAAAGAAAATCTTCACATCATTGTAGAACAAAAAAAACTATCATTAAAATGATTTATCATTTAAATTATTTAAAATTATTTATTATTATTAATTATTTTAACTTTATTTCTTCACAGCAGTACATAATATTAACATGGCTTCATTATGTGGAACCACAGCAAGTTCTCAAAAACAACTACACACATTTACAATCAGGACTTTTTTCAACAGTTATCATCACTATTCTATTGCAAAAGGGTGTGATTTTTTTCAGATATTACAATTAAAATCAGTTAAAGTTACATATTTAGTGCTTCAACTGAAAATGAACATAGCACCACCAGAGTGTTGCGTGCCAAAGTTATCATTTATTCAGAAGATAATACATTCAAATGCATTTATTTGCATCCTAAAAGTCACATATTGTAAAAAAAAATAAACATATCAACAGAATTTAGCTTTCACATCAAAATATTTTGAAAACAAGTGTTAAGAAATTTCATCAAGAGATTAAAAGGCAGGAACAATAAAATAAAATAAAATGCCAAAGTCAAAGGTTAAAGAGTATATATGAGAATAAGGACATGCACAGCAGTTACACAGTTCACGTTTTATTATTGTGTTAATTTCAGCAAATAAACTGTGTATCTAGATCTGTTCTCACTACAACCTGAAACACATCTTCTACATTTCCATGAACACAATATCAGACACCATCTGAGCTCATGAGCGTTTGCCACGTGTGAATGACTAAAGTGACCACACACTCTAAAACTGTTCTCACTCGGCTCTTTCAGAGAACTGACACTTCATACAAAACCAGACTGTTTTTTTCAGTCATGCAGTTTTGAGCACAGAGCAAAGTGAAGCACATGATTGTAGATCCTGACTGAAATCAGCACAAACACAAATAAACAGATACAGATTACAAAGCTGACAGTAACAGAAAATATCCACAAACTTCACTTCTGCTGCTACAAGAGAAGAGAGTGCAGTGAGTCAGTGATTGTTGGGGTCAGTAACTGAGAAGTATCTGACTTCAGAGTAAACACTGTGTCCAGAGCATCCACTCCTCATTCTCAGGCTTTTGGCTGCATAATTCAGCTCCACAGCAGCAGAGTCCTGTAGAGATGAATATGAAATATTAAAGGCTGAAGATTAGAGAACTCTATGGGAATTAAACAGTGTCAGTGTGAATGAGAGAACATGTAGTACCTGACTGGGTTTGTTCTCCACCACCGAATCATGATCTCTCACTATGATGGAGTAAAGAAAGGTTACAGTGTCATATTTAGAGACCTCAGTGCTGGTCACTTTTAGTTACAGTCAGTTTTTAGTTAAATTGCACCTTTCATTCATTAAAATGCAGCTCGAAATGCTTCACAAGGAGGAAGGCAAATAAAAGCCAGTATAAATTAAGAAATGGGAGCAGATGTTGAGCTGATCAGAATAAACGGTGCTAGTCTATTAATATTATATCAATTAATGGAGTAACGTTCACTCTTCTGTGTTGATGTTAGAACTCTTTCTGCTGATTCTGTACAAGCTGTAGTTTGTCTATATTCTTTTTGGAGATGCCAGAGAACAATGTATTACAATAATCTGAACTGCAGAAAACAAACTTACAAGTTCTTAGCATCATGCAGTGTGAGATCAGGCCTGACCAAGGTTTTTGTTTTTTTATTATTTTGTTTGTTTGTTTCTTTTGTACATGTTTGGTAAACATTACCAAACCATTGCATTTTCAGAGATACATGTAAGGGATCTGTTAAAAATTCATAATCAATCATTATTTACAAAAGCATAATAACACCATATATAACAGATTAAGCTACACTCACCCCTGCAGTTCTGAATGGCTTGAATGCAGATCACAATCACACAGATTCCCAAAGCTGCTCCCAGATAAAACACAAGGGGATCCACAGGACTCACTGTGAGACATTACAAATTGATACTACTGTATATTTACATTCACAGTCATTCAAACACAGACTGTAGCAGATCATGATATTTCACTACAATTAAAATACTTTCAACATTAAATTAAGAGAAATGAAAGTGGTCAGAGCTTCAGTTCAATCTATGAATGATGCTCAGGTCATGGAGATAAAAGTTCTTCTTTAGATTTATGTTGCGAACAAAATACTGTCCACCATGACTCCAATGATGTCCATTCAGGAAAGGTTCCCAAAAAAATGAATGATGGTACATCACAATAAATATGCGTATCCACTCAAAGATGCATGGTTATTGAAATATAGAAGGAAAAGCATAACTGGAAATTGGATGTGAATATATCATCAAAAACTACTGGAATATCCATGCTTTAACTGCTACTTTGTGGAGTTTACAACCACAAGACAAAAATGCGCCAAGGTTCTATGCAAGAGTAGAGCTACACATGAATAACATGATATAACAGCTTTATATGGATAAGTTAGTAAATATAAGTACACATAAGGACAACTACAGTAGATGCAAACAGGCCCATGGACAGATTTTTAAGGGTATCAAGAGAAAAAAAAACAGGTAACAGGGGCATGAATTGGGCTTTCAGATATGGACAGTGATGTCTATGAATGTGGGATCACTGGGGTTCAAACTTCACTGGGGTTCATCTTCTGATGTTGGGGTGAAGAAAGGGTGGGTGCTCTTAGAAAGTTGCACAACATATTACAGTGTTACTTTTTAAAGTTAGTAGACCTTTTGACTGAACTAGATGAGCGCAGTGAAAAGCAGTTTATACAGTTATACTTTAGAATTTTAAGTTAACTTTCTGTTTTAACAGTGTTTGGATTTTGCAGTGGTATGATAGCGCCAAGCTAACACTGGCATACATTCACTCTCCCAAATTGAGTTTAGTACTATATAGCTGTAGCTTAAAATTTAAATTTTTGAGCTTTCATGGCACATTTACTGCAGTTTCTTAGTGAAATGTTTTGTGAATACTTCAGGAGAGTTTAATATTAGAGGAGACTTTATAGTTATATGAATCTAATTAATGTCAGGGGTTCAGTCAACATGGCTGTATAATACTGTCAAATTTGAAACAATTTTAGATTGTGTAATTTACCTTAATTTTATTGTTGACCAGGAACCAACAGCTTTATACTGTTTGAAGCATTCAGGCACATAAACACACACAGACTTACCGAACTGGACTGATGCTCCATTACCAACAATGATCTTCCCACAAGCAGCCACAGCGCAGTAGTAAGTTCCAGTATGGTGCTGGTCGAGGATGTTCTTGGAGAAGTTGTACACAGAGCTGTGTTTAGAAGAGCTGATCTCACACTGATGGCTGCTGCTGTTCTGATGAGTGTAAATGATTTCAGGAAAGGACTGTCCTGCAGCAGCTCTGAACCAGAGCACTCGAAGTTCTGCTGCTCTGATCTCAGAGAGGACCGTGCACTGCAGAGTGACCGACTCTCCTGGAGAAACTGACCCCCGTACTGGTGTTTGCAGCACTGATATGTTTAACCGATCATGACCTGACATTGTGTTAAGATTTTAAATGTAAGACATTAAGCCAATATTTTATTCTAAATACAATAAATACTGTATAATCTGAGTGTAATATTATTAAAAAGATATTGTGAAAAGTTTTGAATGAATGTATATATTAAAAACTGTAATGTGATTACCTGTCACAGCTAAGACTATGATATTAGAAAATGTAAATGTTTTTCCATCACTTTTTCCACAGAAGTACATTCCTTCATCATCTTCAGAAGTTTCTTTAATAGTCAGCGAAAAATCTCCATTTAGACTGAATTTTGAATCAGTTACAATGGGAGGTTTGTTGTCTAACTTTGATGTGAGTTCTTTAGGTTTCTTCCACAGTTGTTGTTTGTACCAAACCTTAACGTTTTTATCAGACTTTTCAACTTTGCAAGACAGAGTAACATTTTCTCCAGCCTTAACTGAGATAAACTGCTCATTAAGATCCACAGCTTCAACAAGGCCTACAAAATGACA